ACAGCTTGAGGCTCTGTCTCAAAAAAAAAAAAAATTGTGTTGTGAGATTACCGTGACCCCACGTTGTTAGGATTTAACATGCCTAAATGCCTGTCTGTCTCACTATGTACACAGTATTCTTCATTGTTATTGGCTTTGAGCTAATTAATGAAAGTTGTTTAAGAGCCATTGGTATTTTTTAAATGCATTTCACCTAGAGACACATAAGCCCAGGAAATCATAGATATGTATTATAATCCTGGAAGTTAAAAGACTTCTGGATGATGAATAAAGGTTACTGATAGAAAGCATAGGGACTAGGGACTTCGGGCAGTGGAAGATTCAAATTAGTTCACATTTATTATAGAATAAGAAAAGCATGACTATTTTAATTTCATGTGTATAATCTACATTATTTGTTCAAAGGAACAAGATCTTGTGCAAACCCTGAGCTGTTTGTCAATGATAATCACACCTGCATTTGCTGAGGTAAGTACAGGTCCATTAGCATTGAATATCTATGTTAAAGAGTATATAATATTTGAAATGTTACAACTCTTAATCTTCCTCAGCTTAAACAGCAGGATGAAAATAATGCTAGCAGGAATCAGGCAATTGAAGAACTCGAGAAAAGTATTGCTGTGGCCGAAGCTGCCTGCCCTGGCATCACAGACAAAATGGTGAAGAAATTAATTGAAAAATTTCAGAAGTAAGCTTAAAATTTTATTTTAAAAATTATTTTGCATTTTTGGTTGGCTGTTAATTTATGATACAGTATTCTTATCTTGAAGTATTCCTTAAGAAGTCGCCTTTTGATACATAGTTGTATGCTTGAAAACAGTTTTGTTTGTTGTCCATCTTAAACATTAGCTTTTGGAACGACAAGGTAATTTTCCAGTTATAAAATGGCCTGGTTTTATTTTTCTCTCCCTTCAAGTAGAAGTATAGAGAAAAGGTCACTGAGCATATTCTTTTCTGGGCCCTTGTAACCATAACTTGGGAATGCTTTCATTCTTGACACTACTCTCAGAATTTGAAGAGAAACCACTATGCCCATAGTATCCAGTGCTGTTTGAAAAGTTAAGGAAAAAGTCTTTTTTTGGCGGAGGAGGGGCGTTGAGACAAAGTCTCACTCTGTATCCTTGGTAGAATGCTGTGGTGTCATAGCTCACAGCAACTTCGTACTCCTGGGTTTTACCAATCCTCTTCCCTCAGCCTCCCAAGTAGCTGGGACTGCAGACGCCCACCACAACACCCGGCTAGTTTTTCAATTTTTTAGTAGAGATGGGGTCTTGCTCTTGTTCAGGCTGATCTCAAACTCCTAAGCTCAGGCCATCCACCCGTCTCAGCTTCCCAGAGTGCTGGCATTTCCGGGCATGAGCCACCACATCTGGCAAGGAAAAGGTTTTTAGGTAGAGGTACTAAAAGGCCCATATGTTCTACTCTATTTTTATTGCTACCTCTTGAAGTATTACCTTGATTTTGTTCACAGTTAAAGAAGTTCTTACATTTAATCTTTAAATGTTTTTAAATAAGACCTTTACATACACACACACATATACTCCTTAGCTCAAGCAAGCTGTAAACTAAAATGGTACTAATTTTAGCTTTAACCTCATTGTATCTCTTCTTGGCACATCTTTATATTTCTTCGTATTTGTGATCCCACTGGGATCAAGTTGGAGCAAACTAATTGGCCTATAAAATCACATCCTTTCCAAGAACTTTCTATCTGATAAGGCCCACTTGTCCTCATAAACTAAAGCTCCTCTTAAAATCCCTTAGATTTCAATGGAAAACTTCCATTTGTTTTCCAATTTGCAGTCAATCAATTGGAAGTTGTAAAAGTGATTTTTGAATTTTTATTTTATATCTTAATATCTACATGATGAGATTCAGTAGAAAGTACTTACCTCATTTGCTGAATCAGTTTATTCATTGCAGAGTTCATACAAATGAGAAACATAAACATGCGTATTGTACAGTGATTGAAGTTTTTCTTCATTTTCTAGGTGTTCAGCGGATGAATCCTCCTAAGGGACTTATTATTGGCTTTTGTTTCATATGGACTCAAAAAAACCCACCAAAGCTACTTCAAGCTTAACAATGCTTAATTCATGAGCTCCATGTGCCTTTTGGATCTTTGCGACATTGAAGATTTGGAAGAAGCTAGTCAACTATTTTGTGATGGTGTTTATCATTTTCTATTTTAAAGAGATTATTTTGTAAGGGATAACTTTTAATACTATAGTTTCACCTGTATTCTAGTAAATGTTGAGATACAGTTTTGCTTTTAGGTATTGTTATTTCTTAAGTTAGTAGGATGAATACCTTTCACGTTTTGGTCTTCGGTTAAGTATACACTCACGAAACATGCAGGTCTTTCAAAGTCATCTTAAATATCCATCTGTAGTAAATCATCAGGCTTCAAAAGGCTTTTTTCTTAAAAAAAAAACAAACATTCTAAAAATGACTATCGGTGGGGAGGTGAAAATAAGTTGTATCTTGTTAAAATGGAAGTTTTTAATAAGCTCTTGGAAACAAAATCTGTAAAAGTATTGACTCTTCAACCAAGTTGGGATGATATTCTAGGAAGCTCAGTGATTATGACATTTGAGAGCCCTGTGTCTGAAGCATTTACAGGCAAGATGTAGCAACAGAAGTACCTCTTGGTGTGCAGTATTTACCTTCTCTTTAGAGGCAATTACCCTTATTTAACGTGGTTAGAAATTTCAAGCAAGATCATTTTAGCTAAGGATGGGTTTTTGATAATACTAGAATTAGCATGGCTTCATTTTTTAAATCTTCAGCCCAAATTGCATATTATATGTTTGGATTTGGAGAGCTTTAAGAAAAAGCAATTGTCATGTGATTAAATACCTGATCAACAGGTATAAATGTAACTTACACCAGCATATTTTTGTCGTGGTAGTGAATTGTGCTATAAACTATTTATAGTTTTATTCTTCATAATTATCAGTACATAAGCATCATTTGTTCTTTTTTTGTAAGAGTATTTAAATGAGCATTTTCTAGTTCATATGAAAATAACCTTAATACAAGATGATTTTTGTCCATTCAAGGGTAAGTTCGATTGTACAATTAATTTTCAGTTATATTTATGGAACTATTAAGTGGGTAATACCTTTTTCTTTTAAGCCCAACATATATTATGCCTGCCTAAGATCTGAACTGGGGCTGTATTTCAGTAGTTGTAGAATTATTGATATGAATTAGTTTTGCTAGTTAACTTTTTATTATTTGGATCTGCACAATTTGGTTTTTGCACAAGTCATTTTTATCTGAATAAATGCCAAATATTAAAAGAAAAATGTTCTTCAGGTAAAGAATTCAGTTTTTAGTCAAAGTGGCCATTACATCCTCTTTTTAAAAAAATAATATCTTGAGAACATTATTGTGGTATCATATGCCAAGAAAATTATTTTAATTGGTGCCTATACTGTAACAATGACTTTTAATGTGTTGTATTTTTCAAATAATGGTTCAGTTAAGTTTTTCACTTGCTATGTAACTGAAATTCAATTATAGTTTATAATTTGTAGAGTTTTGGAAATTAATTTTGTAACTCATATCATGGATTTAAATGAATATTTTTGTAGAAGTAAAAGCAACAAATTTATAAACTGATTATTTGAAATTTTATGACATAATTACATCCCAAATGCAAATTATATTGTTTAGTCATTGTAGTTATTAGTCCTGTAAACTGTTTCTATGTGAAGCATACTCCAGTGTTTTGTGGATTTAAAAAAATAAATATTTAAATTTCCTGGCCTCAATGTTTGTTTTCCTTGAAGTGGGGGTGTCATGCGGTGTTTCAGTTTCAAATGATTTCTCCTTTGACTTTTAATGTTCTAACATTAAAATCAAAGTTTCTATTGGAAACTATAAGATACTCAATACTTCATTATTGATTATAGCTACGGTGATTTCTGCTTCTTATCTTGACAAAATTATTAAAGAAGTCCCCTTTCCCTGGAAAATGTCCTGGGTTGGATAGTAAGTTATATGGTCACTTTGATCATTGTTTTAGGAGATCATATGCAGACATAAATGTAGTGAAGATTGTTAGAAATTGAGATGAGAAATAACAAATAACATAAAGAGTTTGAGTTTTTCCTAAAAAAAGTTCGAGGGTGAACTTTATAGCTTTAGGAATCCACGTGTATAGGATTAACATATAGGTGACTGGGCTTCAGTATCTTCTTATTATTACCTAGCTACTTTAGACTTGTGAGTTACTGGGGGAAAAAGTGCTACAACATAGGAAAGGGATGGAATGAGGCATATCAAACAGGATTTTTCTGATGTAAGTACAAGGAAAGTAAGGAAACTATTTCATACATCTTTTCTCCATTAAGTTATACATAAAAATAGCTTGCCTATATAATTGGATCATTTCTCTGAAGTTAGTACTTTATCTTGTAAATATGTTGGACTTTATATTAAAGTCAATGAACAAAATAGAGTTCTCAAATAAGGTGTCTACCTTCCAGGAGGACCAGTAAGAAAATTCTAAAGGAGTCCAGAATGGGATTTGTATTCATTTACTCAGCCTGTTATCAGTACTATCTTTTTTCCTTTATCTCCTCTTCCACTTTTTCCACTCATACCATACATTTTCACTTCTCACCTTTCCCTTATTCTGTAAATGTCCCTTTCCTTAGTAATAGGCAAGAAGCAATCACTTCTGATTTTTTTTTTTTTTTGAGACAGAGCCTCAAGCTATCACCCTGGGTAGAGTGCGGTGGCATCACAGCTCACAGCAACCTCCAACTCCTGGGCTCAAGCGAGTCTCCTGCTTCAGCCTCCCAAGTAGCTGGGACCACAGGCACCCACCACAACGCCCAGCTATTTTTTGGTTGCAGCCGTCATTGTTTTTGGTGGGCCCAGGCTGGATTCGAACCCGCCACCTTAGGTGTATGTGGCTGGTGCCTTAGCCATTTGAGCCACAGGTGTCGAGCCCACTTCTGAAATTGATCAAACAAGAAAAACCATGCTTATAACTTATTCTTTATTTACATGGACTTTTCCATGTTTATTGCAATGACATCTCATTTCCTTGCCTACGTACATGCAAAAAGATACAGCAAAAATAAATTCTGGCAGGAAATATTAGGTAAACAAATTGGCCTGTTAACTATTATCTTTAATTAGACAAAGCAGATAGTTAAGAATATAAAAGTTATACATCAGACATCATAATATCCTTATCAAGTATATATCTAGCTTCAGAGATTAATTTAATTCATGAATTTACTAGGTTTAGAATTCTGCCAAGTTCTAGATTTATTATTCTGTTAAGAGGATCTATGCCCCCACCTTGAACCTGAGGATGTAGGAGGACAGTGTTCCCCTATATATATTATAAAATTTGAAGTTTTTCCCTTAAAACTTTTTACTGGGCCCTACACAAATAGTAAGGACTGAAACCTTTGTTTAATATTGTTTAAGAACAAAATGATCAACACAGTCACAAGCTACTAAATCACTAAATGTCATTAGAAGCCAGTTCCATATACCAACCGAGGCTATGACCTTCTTCAGTGTTGAAGAACCTGACCTTCACATACAGTGTCTCTGAGAAAATGTGTAATGGATATGACATAGCCACTTCACCCCACCGTAGTGCTGGTGAGGAGAGGGTATGTTACAGAATTCTTTCACACAGAAGTGTGAAGCACAAGGAACAAGGCAGCAGTTGGATCTTTCAAAAGCTAGGTGCCCCAAATTGGAAGATATCCTCAACACCAATGAATTTGTACTAAGATAATACTTTCTACAAAAGGTTCATTATTTCTTGACCAAGCTGGTAACATGGAACTGGTCCTGAAATGTTCATAGTGCTTATCCTTTTAAGCTAAAAAGTAATTATATGGTTTTAGCAAAGTCCTGTCTTCAGCAGTTGATGGTTTGAAAGAAACATCTTCATCTTCTTCATCTAGCTGTAGACTACCAGAAGACAAGCGGATTCTGGCCATGGGTGACTTTATTCCTTTGCCATACAAAGAGTAGTAGTCTGGTTTAAGAATCTCTGCTTCCAAATCACTGGATTCACTAGCTACATACCTTTCTGCTGTACTCTGACCTGTTAGAATTTCTGGAAACTCCTGCTCTGCAAACATACATGTAAACAGGTCTGCCTTACGACTGAGAGCAGGACAAGGCCCTAAAGGTCTGAATTCTGACCCAAAAGGAAAACGGATAGTTTTCATGTCTGATTGGCTCTGGGACCGTTTAGGGGTTTGTTCTGGAATGTTGTATTCAAATGTGTCTTCTAAATTGGGGTCTTCCTCTTCTAGATCTATATCGATGTCGGTTCTACCACTAGTCCTGGCCATTGCTTCTTGAAGTTCTTGAAGGTCTTGCTGAAAGCTCTTAATTCTGATATTCCTTGGGCTTCTTTTGGCTGACTTCATTGCCACGGACTCTATATAGCTGTCTGCCCTTATTCTTTCCTCTGCCAAGATTGGAGATCGTGTGGGCACCTGAGGTGGCTTGTCCACATAAAAAAAGACTTGGGGAGGCATGATATCAACCTGCTGACTAGTGCAAGGAATATAGGGCACATCTGTATAAGTTAGTTGCCTTGCTGGACTCACTTTGCTTGTGAGGCCAGAAGATGTGCTCATCTGATTGTCATCAAACTTACAGCTTGTTTGGAAGGAGCTTAGAGGACTTCTCTCCTCAAAGAAGTCTCTGGGATCAGGGTCAAGATTGGGGTCAGTGTTAAAGACAGGGTCTATATAAATAAAAGGGAAAGAGGAACTGCTTTGGGACTGATGTAAAAATGTGGGATCCGCCTCTGCTTTGGAATACTCCAGTTCAGAAGCAAATGTCACTTCCACTGCCGAGTTCCTCCTCCGGCTGTCTAGTCCCGGCTCCGATGCATGTACTCCATTCACATTTCGGTAGTACCCACCACCATAAGCGAGTCTCAAATCTTCCACCTTGAGAAAAAGGACATGTTGGTGAAAGAAAGAAAAAGCCATTTGGTTGGGGTGGGGGCAGGGATCTAATGAGCCTCCAATTTTGAAAAGGTAGTTTTTCGCACAATCATTTCAATCCAGGTTCTATTCTAGGGCAGATAAATATATACAGAAAGGGTGATGACTTGCACCACATCCCAATTTATGTGTGACAAAGGACACACGATGCTACTCTTTCTCAATGCCATCTCCCTTCCAGACTCTGAAGGTTATGTACTTCAAACATTTGGTTTGGTAGCTATATTAATGAACCAAGAGTCCTGCCTGATTATCAGTCTTGCTTCTGTCTCTGACTTGCTGTGTGACTTTAGACAAGTGTCCTAACTTTGCTGCTTCAGCCTCCTCCCTATTTTCTGTAAGATGGTGTGCAGGAGTGCTATGAATGGCATGAGAGGTTTGTATACTAAATGGTCCCTTTCATCATTATACCTCTGATGCCTTTGTATAAAAACTGCCTGTGACTTGAATGAAAGCAAGAGAGTTTATGAGACCTATAATTACTTTTTTAAAAAGAGCAAGAGAAAAATAATTACCAAGGCTCATACTATAAATTTCAAAGGAAGCCATCATCTCACAGTCCCAGGAGATCAACACTTTGTCCTTACGTTAGATAATTACACAGTAAAAATACTTTAAATCCTTAACCCAAGACCTTATACCTTCCTCTCAGCCTTAAGATTTTCATAGGTAAAGAAGCAAAGCTTTAAGTTGAAAAATTCAAAGCCATAAAAATTCTTTTGGATCTGCATTTTGCAAGATGTTAGCAATACAGGTTGAAATTTGAAGGTGTGTCAGATCCTTCCAATCTAGAAAGTACACTCCAGTCAGTGGTAGTTTACTACATGGTCTTCTATTGGCAGGAAAGATTGAGCTGACAGACCTCTCCAGGAGGCTAACCTACTCCAACAGAGGAACCTTTTTACACACTGGGATTCTGGCAGAATCAATTCTTGGAAACATTTGAACTTTGGATGAATCATATTTATCTAAAGAAGTAGGAATTTTCAGAAATCTTACTTGTTTTGACACATCAGAGAGGAGGTCTGGCGAGGACCTGCATTGTCGTTCATGGTACTGAGATGGATACTGTTTCCTGAAATCCCCAAACAGAGAAGTCACCGAAATGACCTTCATGTGAAGACCAAGATACATACAAATCTCTAAATGCAACTTAAATCAACAAGAGAGAGAGAAACAAAAGCATGTACCTTTCAAATGGCAAGCTCTTCAACCTCCCTTTTTTCCCGTATTCCAAAAGCTGCCTTTGAGTTCTTCCACTGTTATAAGGAAAAGCTAAAAATTATTGATTCCAGTCATAAGCCAATAGGCTACTAAAATGTGAAGGCCTCATTTTTTTATTGTTGTTGAAACCGAAAGAGTCTGGGTGGATGACATATGGTGTGAATCTCTGGACACTGCATTAATGATAATACCTACTTAGCCAAGGACCAGACAGACAGCAACCTCAACTCCTCAGAAGCCAGGCATTTTTAAAATGCTTCTGAACAGGGTTATATAAACAACTAAAAATTTGGGGCTTTAAAACTAACATACTTTCTTTCAAAGACCTTTATTCTGCCTCCAAATGAGAGTCAACTGACTCTTATTTTACATACTATTTCTAATGAGGTTATTTATCTGGTTTCTCAATCCATAGTAGAAAAAAAAAAAAAACAGCTAGCTAAACAGAAGCAGAGGATTGCTCCAATCTGACATATGCTAGTAAAGAAAGCCAGCTTACTGCTGGGAGAAACACAAGAGCCAGAAAAGAGATCACAAGAATAATAAAACCCCCAAAGTCTGGGCCATTTATCACTGAAGTGCAGGGCCTGACATGCCTCCCCCACCCTGAGGCCATCACTTCACTACAGCTGCCTGCAAAAGATAATAAGTGATGTTTGTAATAACTCAGGTCATTAAAAAGAGTGCAAAATATGCTCAGTATCGTCTGTTTAAGAAGGCCGAGGTTTGTAGAATACAGTCTGGAATGACTCCATCAGAAATATGTAAGGATTTTAGATCTCAATTTTGACTAAGGCAAGTTTCCACTATTAGAAAAATCCTTCACGTGGAAGCATTTGATCCACTTTTTTTTTTTTTAATCTAAGAGTTTTGAAAACTTCTTCCAAAAAATGTCTAGGCTGGTGTGTTCAGGTAAAAAGCAGATCCCAATTCAACCTCATTTCCTCTATTCCTCTGAGGTATGCTCTACAGTGAGGAGCCTCCATGCTATATTGCTCGATCTTCTTAATCCTTTATCCCCTCCAGCGCTTTGTCATTCTATCCTTTAACACCAAAAGAATGCTGTTGAGCTTTCTTCTCCATGGCTTGCACATAAGTTGCATATAAGGGAAACAAGAAGTTTATTGAACACATATTCTCAAACTGCCTATATCCCCCTACCTTGCTAAGATTCTGATCCTACCTCTTAGGTAAGGTATCCCCCTTCTGCTGCCTCCTAGTTAGGAAACATTGACTTCATGTATCACAGAGAGAATGAGCAGTAAAGGGTATAATGTTTGATGTGACTGAAATGGATTCTTTATGGCTTCTGGTGTTGGAACAACTCCTATGTCTCCCATGTTATTATTGAAAAGAGGCAACGTGTGTACTTTGCCTGTGTGCAAAATTTAATTACCTGTAGCGGAAACTGGAACCCTTGCTGCAGAGTAGGGTTTTGGGCTTTGATTTGGGCTCTTCAGAAAGCCTGAAGAAAGCATGGTACTCTACACAAGTCTTCCAGAAAGCCTTGCAGGCATCTCGACTGGCCATGGTGAACTCCAAGGTGTCCTTGCACAGAACCTGTATAAACCGACTTCCATCAAGCAATGCATGCTCCAAGAATATCAAAGGCCTTCAAATCCCAACCCCTTCTAAACTATCCGTCCAGCAGCCCATGCACCTTCTGATTTTCCACTTGGCTCCCTGTAGGCTTCACACCTACTGAAGCCTAATGATTGGCAACCTTCCGAGGAACAGACAGGGCTACTGCTCACAAACAGAGCCTTCTCTAAGAAGCAAATCTTGCTCTGCACACTCCCTTCACCTTAAATGCTTTTTCACTCCCTCTTCTCTGCCAGGAACATTTTTATGAAGTTATAAATTATGTTAAAATGAACATCAAAGGGCATCTGTTCAAGGTGACAAGAAGTTATAAATGGCCAACAGGAAAGGGAAGGTAGGAGGAGATTTCCTTACAGATGGAAGGGTTTATAGGATGTTTATGTGTACATGAGTCGTTTTAATATACCAGCTAGAAACACTTCTTCCTCTATGTGCTGTGTTGTTCTATGATACTCTGTATTGCTCTTTTTGCTTATTCTAATCTGTCTAGGAGAACTTGGCCTTCCACACCAAAAGTACACATTTTCCCCATTCCCTGACTGACTATATACCCCCATAGTCCCAAGGCTACACAGTGCCCTTACAGCCTTGTTTCCAGTCACCCCTTCAACCTACTGCACTGATCCCCTTTTCTTACTCCTTTTAGGATTCCTATGTGCAGCCCCCTGGAGCTCTCCATGAGCTTCACACTGGATCAAGTCTCCCAAACTGCTTAAATAAACACTTTTACATAAGACCAACATCCAGAGAATGAAGCCCAAACTGCTAGGTCTTCAGTAGGCCAAAGTACACATTCATCATTTTTATATGGTCGCAAGGGAACTTCCTTTCTAGTGCCATTGTCTCACCTATACAACACAGCCTTCCCCAATAATTGCTTCTTTTGCTTACATGTATACCCCCCTCCCACATCCTGCTTGGTTTTGTCATATGGTAGGTGTTCAGTAATTTTTGCTTAAGGAAAGTGGTGAACATATTTTGTAAAATGGAGGAGATAACATCAAATTAATATGTCCATGGTCCTGGATCTAGCCATTCCTGTTTGACTTATCAAATCCCTAAAAAATACTTTCCATGGAGACTTTCCGTTTAGCCCAGTGACCTCATTTTCCGGTTAACTTTTTCATTCTAAACTACCAATCATATTTCTTAGTGTTTTACCTTAGTAAAAATGGGACTAAAGCTCTGGTTGATTTCTGTGGAAGTATAAGAGAAGGCATATCACCCCTCAGGGCCAGTCAGCTCTAACCACTTGTATTTAAATCATCTACTGAAACAACCAAAGAATTCCAAGTGAACACAAAGTAAAATATATATATTAGAAAGCTACTTACCAAGATGTTGGCATGGAGTTTAATGAGAAAATGCTTTCTCTTAAAACTCAGCTTGCGGATTTTAGCCCAGTTGAAAGTATTAATCTTTGTATTTCCCTACAATGAAACACATGGCCGATTTCAGAATGTGTCAGCACAAGTTGGTTTGTAAGACAACGGAAACCTGATAGAAAAATGCACTTCATGAATGGGACCACGCTTGACCCTTCTCTTGTACAGACTGATCGTGTCACACTATGTAGAAGTTATGGCCAAAAAAGCCAGTGCAGGTGGAATACAAGGCTATTCTGGAATGCAAGCAAGAAGGGGCAGGCCAAGGGAAAATTTCTAGCTACATGGAGAGATCACAATAGGAAAGGATTACTGTAATAGCTTCTCTAATCTCATCCCTTTCTTGTGTTTCCAGATTCATCTGTTTAAAAATAATGTCCTCTTTCTTTTGCCACTCCATTTGTCCAAACACCTTTAGTAGCTTCTCACTGCCTGAATCATGTCTTGGCTGTATCTCACTGCCCTGTTTATAATGAATACGCAACCCATACTCCCATAGCTACCACCAAACACTCTTACGTCTAACTCTGTACATTTCTCCTATAATGTCTTCATTCTCTTTATACAAAATGTGTTCCACATAATCAAGCCTTCTTGCCAGCTCAGATAGGAACTCCTCTAGCACATATTCTATTTAATTACTGCAGCCTATACCCATATCTAACTTCTTTAAATTTCCTTGGCTTTCCTGGTCTGCCCAAACAGCTTAGTTTTTATTTGGTTGATGTTTGTGCAATAGGGAATCTATTCACATCATTAAAAAATGAAAAGTATACAAAATATATATATGTGTGTGTTACGAAATCTCACTCCTACTTCTGTCTCCATCTATCCATTCCCTACAGGTAACTATATTTACTAGTTTGTCATGAATACTTGTCATGCAACCGTAAGTAAATATAATAGATTCGCTATCAATTACAAGTAAATATAATAAACTACTTCCTTTTCCAGTGAGTGAGAACATTGAGGGGTGGAATCACCTTAGGAAAGAACAACCAAGTTTGATCTGAGACGACCCCTTGCCCCTAAGCTGAAGGGTTTGAAAGGAAAGAGCTGGCTCGGCGCCTGTGGCTCAAGCGGCTAAGGCACCAGCCACGTACACCTAAGGTGACGGGTTCGAATCCACAGCCCAGGCCCGCCAAACAACAATGACGGCTGCAACCAAAAAAATGGCCAGGCGTTGTGGCGGGCGCCTATGGTCCCAGCTACTTGGGAGGCTGAGGCAGGAGACTCGCTTGAGCCCAGGAGTTGGAGTTTGCTGTGAGCATGATGCCATGGCACTCTGCCCAGGGGGCCAGCTTGAGGCTCTGTCTCAAAAAGAGGAAAAAAAAAAAAAAAAAAAAGAAAGGAAAGAGCTGTTACCCGCAACACCAGTACTCCCATGTGAGCAACAGCCAGGTGAATCTGCATCCCTTCACCATCGCTGGCAGGGTGAGGCCTGATGCCATACATGTCCAGCTTCCTTGCTATGTCCAGTAGCAGAATGTCAGATTCAGCTGGGCTCCTGCCACTGAAAAGGGAAAGAATTTATGAGCCGAATAAATGTAGCAAGAAGGATACTTCCACCCTGAGAACTCCACAAGGAGCTCAGCGTTATTCTTGAGCCTAAAGCTTCTCAAGCTTAAGGGCTTGCTTTCAAGAGGCTGTCCCCAGCTTTAGTGCTTTCTAGTTGGGGAAGCAGGTGCCATTTAAAGTACTTACATGTGCTTCTGATGAAAGTGAATGATCTTACTCTCTAAACAGTCTTGGTTTGGTAAGTACTGGGTTTGTGCCAGATGCTTCCTATCTGTTTCTTCATGAAAGTCTCCCAGTTCGGCTGCAAGACAGAAAAAGTAAGATTCTTCACAGTACCACTTAGGAGTTAGGCAGTGGAGCACCGAGCGCACCCTATGGCCTCCTTCAAACAGCCCTTTCTTTGCAGTCGGTGCAGTCCCATGTCTCTCGCCCCATGCTTTATATATATTTATGTTTCCATGGGGCAAGGGGAGAACTTGTTCCTTTTTGAATCAGAATCAAAATCAGAGGGTTGCTATTAGGTCTCAGTATAGAAAGTCACGAGCCAGCGTAGATCTTTAAAGGCTCCAAGATTACAGTTGAACATTTTGTTAGATTTTTCTTCTCCCATGTTCTGTTTATGATTTCTCCTACTACCAATCAGCTGCTATTGTAGGCTGAATTCTGTGCGCCCCCCCCCACCATCACCAAGTTCATATGTTCAAGTCCAACCCTCAGTACCACAGAATGTGACTATGTTTGGAGATAGGGCCTATAAAGAGGTGAGGAAGGTGAATTGACACTATTACGGCAGGTCTTAATCCAACACGATTGGTGTCTTTATAAGAAGAGGAGATGTGGACACAGCACAAATGTGAGAAAGCAGAAAAAAAATCATGTGAACACACAGCAAGGAGGCCATCAGCAGAAAACAACCCTTCCTACAGCTTGGTTGTCAATTTCTAACCTCCAGAACTATGAGAACATAACATTTCTGTCATTTAAGCCACGCAGTCTCTGGTATTTTGTTATGGCAACCATAGCAAACTGATATAGTCCCCCAATCTCAATCCATCTGATACATTATCAAGAAAGGGGAGTGTGGCTCAGCGCCTGTGGCTCAAGCGGCTAAGGCGCCAGCCACATACACCTGAGCTGGCAAGTTCGAATCCAGC